CTTTGCCTGCTCAGAAATCAGTGGTTTCCCACAGTTCTCAAAGTTGGGCTACTTCCAGGCCATCAACTTCCTTTGCTTGAACACATGATCATTCTGCACTGTAAGAACCCTGTTTTTTGCAACATACTAATTTTGTCCCATTTAATGTTTTTTGGGTTAAGGAAAATCTAATATTTGGACACTGTGTTAGTTCACTTTCTGTTGCTTACAACAGAATACCTGAAACTGGAAAATTTATAAAGAAATAAATTTTCTTTTTTTTTTTTTTTTTTTTGGAGACGGAGTCTTGCTCTGTTACCAGGCTGGAATGCAGTGGCGCAATCTCGGCTCACTGCAACCTCCACCTCCTGGGTTCAAGCAATTCTTCGGCCTCAGCCTCCCGAGTAGCTGGAACCACAGGCGCATGCCAGCATGCCTGGCTAATTTTTTTGTATTTTTAGTAAAGACAGGGTTTCACCATGTTGACCAGGATGGTCTCAATCTCTTGACCTCACGATCCACCCGCCTCGGCCTCCCAAAGTGCTAGGATTACAGGCAGGAGCCACCGCTCCTGGCCGAATTTTATTTCTTAAAATTACGGAGACTAGGTGCAAGGCTGAGGTGCCACATCTGGTGAGGATCTTCTTACTGGTAGAAACTCTCTGCAGAGTATCACATGTGAGGTGGCTCAGCATACTAACATGTGACTCAGATCTCTCTTACTCTTATTTTCTTTTTGAGCTGGAGTTTCGCTCTTGCTGCCCAGGCTGCTGGAGTGCAGTGGTGCGATCTCAGCTCACTGCAGCCTTCACCTCTGGATTCAAGCGATTCTCCAGCCTCAGCCTCCCGAGTAGCTGGTTTATAGGCGCCCACCATCATGCCCAGCTAGTGTGAGTGTGTGTTTTGGTAGAGACGGGGTTTCACCATGTTGGCCAGGCTGGTCTTGAACTCCTGACCTCAGGTGATCCACTAACCTCAGCCTCCCAAAGTGCTGGAATTATAGGTGTGAGCCACCGTGCCCAGCCTCTCTTCCTCTTCTTATAAAGCTACAAGTCACACTCTCATGATAACCTATTACTCCATCAATCCTTGAATGGGTTAATCCATTCATGAGGGCAGAAAGAACCCTCACAATCCAATCATCTCTTAAAATCCCCACCTCTTAATACTGCCACATGGGGGATTAAATTTCAACATGAGTTTTGGAGGGGGCAGATATTCAAACCATAGCAGATATCATTCATTTTAACTTGTCAAATTCTTTTCTGATATAACAGAATAATATCAGCATGTTAATTACCAGTACATTTTTTACAGGAGAAAAATTACTAAGTTAAAGCTAGTTCTGATTTTTTTTCACCTGAGTAAAGATGACTTTTAAAACCTTAATGTAATAAAATGGAAAAGAAGAAAATATAGATTTAATCAATGAGTCCAACCTCCAGGGAACTTTCTTTTGGCCCATATTCTTTTCCTTTATGCAAACAGTGGTGACAAGGCACACAGTATCTCTGCCTTTGCTGTCCCTGTACTACTACTGTTAAATGCTGAATTGAAGTCCACAGAAAACAATTAGTATATAACCTACTTCAGGATTTTCAAGTGCTTCTATTCTTTAATTTTAAGAAAATTTTGACTTGTGTGGAGATGTTTTCTGATCAATAAAAACATGTCTAGGCCTAAGAGAGGTCTATGCTATCTTCTGCAGATGTTTGCAATGTGTTGTAGATGGAGTCTATACATGCAATACAAATGAGAATAACAACAATAATTAGTAATTATAATATCTAATACTTATTAATACTGTATTAAATGTCAGGTACTGTTCAAGGTGGTTTGCATGTAATGCCTCATTTAATCCTTATAACACCCTGTGAGGTAGATAGTATAATTATCCCCATTTACAGAATAATGAAACTGAGGTACATTGAGATTAAACCATTTTCCCAAGTTCACAGACAATAATGTTGCAGACCCTAGCACTGATGATCATAACCACTATGCAATCCTGCCTATTGAGACCCAGCAATCCCATTACTAGGTATATACCCAAAGGATTATAAAACATTCAATTACAAAGACACATACGCATGTATGTTTATTACGGTAGCGTTTACAATAGCAAAGACTTGGAACCAACCCAAATGCCCATCAATAATAGACTGGGTAAAGAAAATGTGGCATATATACACCATGGAATACTATGCAGCCATGAAAAAGGATGAGTTCATGTCCTTTGCAGGGACATGGTTGAAGCTGGAAAAGATCATTCTCAGCAAACTAATGCAGGAACAGAAAACCAAACACCAAATGTTCTCACTTATAAGTGGGTGTTGAACAATAAGAACACATGGACACACATAGAGGAATATCACACACTGGAGCCTGTCAGGGCATGAGGGATTGGGGGAGGGATAGCAGGGAGTAGGAGAATTGGGGAGGGATAACATTAGAAGAACCACCTAATGTAGATGAGGGGGATGGATGTAGCAAACCACCACCTTGGCACGTGTACGATCTGATGTAACAAACCTGTACGATCTGCACATGTACCCCAGAACTTAAAGTATATTTTAAAAAAGGGAATATTAAATGAGAATTGCTAAGTTGTATATTCAACAGTTTAAAGGGGTTTAAAAAAAACTTTATAATTTCACAGAGAAATCTAACCCTCTAAAAAACTAACAACGAATATGAGTTTGAGCACTGATCATAGTAATTCAATTATATATGTTAAGTTTTTAATAAGGAGATACCCTGTCTAGTTGATACAAAAAGAGCTGGGCTGTTGCAAAATTAGAGGTTGTAGCCTACTTGGAAATACTACTTAAATTTTTATCACTTAAAAGCTCATTACCAACTAAGAAAAAAACTAAATACTTGACATTTTGGTATCTGTGATATTAAAAAGGACTAATATTTAATATTCAAGTGGCAACAGCTTGTAGAGTTTGCACACAACACCCACAGGGATCGATTTTTCTCTAAAACGGCCTTCAGGAGTCTGCCTTTTAAACAGCTGACACCTCCTTTCTCCGCATCCCTCCTTCCTGCCAGCACCATGGGGCGCTCACGGAGTGCAGCAGCAGACATGTAATTCTGCACTGCAGGATTTGTCTTTGCAAATAATGGAGAATGAGGGAAATTAAGAAAAATGTAATTTCCACAGAATCAACCTCAGTGTAATCTTTGCTACTAAAAATGCATAGATGTCTTCAGAGGGCTTTTCTCCATATGCCCTATCAGTCCCTTTTATATACCAGCTATGAGGAGAGAGAAGAATCATTCCTACCTAATTGATCATCAGTCATTCCACACCTGTACCAAGGCTGCATGATGACAAGCATACTGTTGCCTGGCATTTTTCCAGTTGACTAATTGTCACAGTACTAATTCACTTACCTATGGAATTTTCAACTTCCCCAGCCTGCTGTCAAGAAGATGCATAAGAATGGAATAAAGGATTTAAAATGCTGAATATTATACAATATTTCACTTATCTTTCAATAGAAGGCTTTGACTAAGCCAGGTATTAGGTGGCTATAATTACTCATGGCTGGAGTAAAAAACAAATGACAACCTTGTCATATATACATTTACCTGGTAGAATGACAAGAATCAAGTGAACCCATTTTTTCTGATGTAGAGAAAAAACTACTAATCAGATTACCTAAAACGCGTTTCTTGATCTGCATGGTTTAGAGTAAATGTACCAGTTCAATTACTAATAAGTTCCACGTTACAAAACACTTCCTTGTTGTTGTTGTTGTTAGTGCTATTTAAGACAATGTTTTTTCTATATCAAATAGTAAGGTAAAGGAGTAATTTACTGTCTTTTTTTTCCAAAAAATGTGGAAACGTTTATAAAGGCGATATAGGCATATATGACTTTAGCTGCATAAACTAGTAAACCAGTTTGGGACATGTATACCAAGCAATCTGGCCACCAAGATTTTTTAATGGTAGATTGTGCTTTTGAAAATTAATATTTCCTGTGGAAAATTATTACCCACAAGTATAATAGCTGACGTTTCTGAAGATCTTATCGTTGATGACCCTCACTGTGGTACTTAGATTTGTTTGATGTATCTGTGAAAGTTACCTAGCAACTATGCAACTGTAATTTTTGACATAACAAATATAAATGTAATTTGACCAGTTTGAAAAAATATGCTTCTTCATGATACAAGCAAAGATTTATAAAGTTAAGGATTTCCTGAGGAAATCTGAATAGAATCACTCCATTTAGTCTATTAAATACAAATTCTATAGGTTGCTTAATCACGCATCCTATAGGATTATTAGGTCCGCTAAGGAAAAAAAAAGTTTTCTGGTCAAGTTTGGGAAATACTGGATTAATTATGTATAGGCTTAGCTTCATTGTTGCAAAATATCACTTTAGAAACTTTATTTCAGGCACTTTGATGGGCTAATCTGCGCTCTGAAGAGACGGTGTATGGTCTTTTCCAACCTCATTTGACCCACAGGTCCTATCACAGCCCGTCTCCGAAGCCTAGAGTCTGCAGAGCAGGCTCCGCCTGGACTCACGCCTGGCACATCTCAGGGATTCAATCCATTTTAGCGAAGTTCCAACATTATGCACTTTCAATTGAATTCAAATGGTCTGTGATGTTCTTTGCCTTAGACTTGTTCATGAGGATAAATATGCAAATAGAATCAGAAACATAAACTCGTTTTTTCTACCAGATCTCAGCCCACATATTCCAAGGTAAAGGAGTAGTGCAATAATCCATTCCGGCACATTGACCTACAGCAACACTCTTCCTCAAAATAGGATTTTTAAGCGATAGAAAAGGAGAAAGAAAACAACAGCTTCCTACCCAGCACATGCCTTCCGTTTAGCGTGTCTGGAAGACCGTCTCCTTCCTTTCAAAATTGATAGCCAACTTTTTTTGTTGTTTTGCTATTCAAATTTCTGTCCTCTTTTTTCCAGCCTATTTGCTCTAACACTGAATTTTAAGCATCTCTAAAAATGCTTGATATGTTATTATTCTTTCCAGATATCCTCTGAGAGCCAAGCAAAGAACATTAAGGAAGGAAGGAGGAATGAGGCTGGATACAGTGCAGTGAAAAAGGCAGTTCCCAGAGAGGGGCACTCACGACCCAGAGACTCGACGGTGCTATCAGCATGAGAACTTACCGCTACTTCTTGCTGCTCTTTTGGGTGGGTCAGCCCTACCCAACTCTCTCAGCTCCACTATCTAAGAGGACTAGTGGTTTCCCAGCAAAGAAAAGGGCCCTGGAGCTCTCTGGAAACAGCAAAAATGAGCTGAACCGTTCAAAAAGGAGCTGGATGTGGAATCAGTTCTTTCTCCTGGAGGAATACACAGGATCCGATTATCAGTATGTGGGCAAGGTAGGATTCCTTTGATGTTCTGGGTTTAAAAGCCTGAAGAAGTTACTTCTAATAAATAGACGGGGAGGATGCGAACTATTCCCCAAAAGATTGTTGCTTATCTGGTAAGACTTTTTTTTTCCACTTGAGTAGTTTCAGGAAGAAGACTGTAGCAAGAAGCTGAGAAATGTTAGCCCTGCCACAAAGAGAGAGAAAATGCTCCAGTTGAAAGTGAAACGCCCACAACCACTCGCATAGGATTATCACAAATCCTTCAATTTTTACTGTAGCTTGAAAAATGTGGTCTGACTATTCTATAAAGTAGAGTGTATTAAAAATAGGAATGGAGAGATGAAGCTGTAAAGAAAGGAAGGCTCCTTCTTCTCTCGTTCTAAAAGCAAATATTCTGAGCTATAGTCCTTTGGCCAAGTTCAAATTAACAATTTCTTAACTCTGCTACCTCCGGCACCATGTATTCTCTGACCACATGGAGCCCTTTGCTGTCAAAACCCACCGCTACCTTAGATTTGGCAGCTGCTCCTGCTACTGCTAAGTCTTATCTCAAAGAGTTGGCAAAAATAAAAACAAAAAAAAACAGGTATTTCAAAATCTTGTGATCTAACTGTGGCAAAATTTGTAAAAGAGAAAAATGCTTATGTAAAGGTACTCTTTCCAAATATCATCTGACCATTTTATTGACTCCAGAAAGTAAAGTGAGGAGGCATCAGTTACTATAGCCCTCACAGATTACTGGAGCTGAGTCAGGGAAAACAGCTTGGTTAGCCTGCCATCATGAGTTTCGTGAATTTTATCATCAGCTCCAAACTTGTTGCAGAATATCTGCATACTAAAAAGAGGCGGAAGAAAAAAACAGGGTTACAGGCTGCTACTTTGTAGGTTCTGTGCCTCATAAGGTAATATTGATTTTTAAAAAACCATTGTCACACATCCCTTCATAAACAAACCGAGAATGAACATAAAAATATACATGAGAAAATGCATTCATTTATGATTAAAGCTATGATTTTAAGACATCTATATTAGGATACCATGCAAAAAAAACATACTTTTTACAGATTCCAAAGGCTGCATGTTCACACTTCAATCTGTGATCAAATATCCCTGAATAACCATATGTAAATATTCTTTTTAAGTATTTACCACCATAAATGAAGGAAAGCCATCCATGGCTTGGGCTGATGTAACCAGGAAGTGTTCCAGTGATGTGAATTATTAATGTGGAATAAAGTAAGAGAGGAAGTATTCAGTGAAGGGGTGAACATCAGCACAGATCCCCGAGGATCTAGCCATGTTAGCTGTGAAATTCATGCTCTGTGTGACTCCGAAAGACAGTTCAGCTACTTGTACTTCACTCCATTTCCTTTGTGAAATTTGAAGAACACTAGGTTAACTGGGTGATGGTTGTAAAAAATCATCATCATCTTTAAAATCTTTAAAGCAATTTTTACAACACAAATAGTATCGTTGCCATAGACGATCAAGTTTTAAAAAGTGCTTTATCTAAATAACGGCTCCCCTTTCTCCTTTCCAGTTTTCTTCTCCAATTATGATGCCGTTTTACACCTATAATGCCATATATTATTAAAAAAAAAAAAAAAAAGGCCAGGTTATGTCAGGACACTAGAAACAGCAGTGGATAAAACCACATAAGAATCAGTTTTACAATTATAATTGTGAGAAGGAATATTGCCATGGGGAAAAGTTACAAGCCGTGGACTCGAGCAGATCTGAGAATGTGTCGCTGTGCTGCCGGTTGCCAATTACGTGACCCAGGACAGGTTATTAACCTTCCTAGGCTTTCGTTTCCTCACCCAGAAAGTGCATGCAGCAATGCCTACTGGTGGAGCTGCACTAGTGGCAGGGACAGAGTAGGTACATAAAGAAGTTACTATTATTGGTAAAAATCCACTGTCTATGTTCTATTAAGTCTATGTGCAATGCATTGAAGTGGCATATTGACTTCTATATCACTGCAGAAGTAAAATGAGGTAATTAACAAATCTCGGTGGAAAATATAGAGAAGCACTGGCAAAATCTCTTCACAGCTACAGCTTTGACTAGATTAGTTGGATTTGGATAGTTTATTGGCAGCTAGATAAATTTCCCTCCCTCTTCATCATCTGTCCTTCCCTGCTGCCCCTCCCTCTCCTCCTTGTGCTTATAATACAGGAGACATTTGCCATTCTTTTTAATTCTTTTTTGAGCTGGGGTCTTGCTCTGTCACCCAGGGTTAAGTTCAGCAGCGCATTCTCCGCTCACTGCAGCCTCGACTTCCTGAGCTCAAGCTGTCCTCCTGCCCCAGCCTCCCAACTAGCTGAGACTACAGCATGAACAACCGTACCAGGCTATCCCTCCAAATTTTACAATATTTCCTGTTCAGCTTCCTCCTGCAACTCACATTGCCTCAGTGCATACTCCAGGAACAATAAGAATAGTTAGGCTGACATAGAAAGGTGTACCAAGGCTAACAGAACCTTTAATTATGCTATTTGAGCAGGTTACTACTAACTAAAAATTACTCAGAGCCTATGGTGGGTACCTAACACTCACAAGATCGATGTGTATGTGGAAGGACAGAAGCATTAACTGAGGAAAAGTAATGCTGCTGAGAAACTAACACTTAAAATAGAAGAAAAAATATTGAAATTATAAACATCTGTTTCTCTTTGTGTTCATCTGAAATAATGATGATGCAGATTAATTGGTGGTAAATCATCATGAGGATGGTGGAGTGAGAAAAATGTGACAATAAGTGAGGGAAGTAAAGGACTTTCAGGTGTAAAAGGGAGAAAAAAAGAGAGGTCATGGGCAGGCAGGGGGGTCACAGCAGCCGAAGAGGAGTCCAGGGGCTGGAATGGCAGTGAGAGAACAGACAAGATGGTGCTTTACAACCGAAGCACAAGCAACTGCAGAGAGACCTGCCTCCTCCTCTGTCTTGACTTTCCTCACCCTTCCACTGCGTTCTAGTGCCAGCAAGATTAATGCAGAGACAGGGACAAGATGGGGTGGGGCGGGGATAGTGGTGAAACCCAATTATAGTTGAAATATTGACAAACCAAATTCTGATTTATGAAAAAATGTCAACTTCCACTCACTTAAAATGGTGGTGGCAGGAACAGGTAACAGGATAGGAAGAAATAAGCAGTCCTGTATACAGTACGTTTCTGAGTTTGTGAGTTTAAGATATAAAAACGGGATGTGATTGCTTTCTAAACTGCATCTCCATGTGGGGGCTGCTTGGAGCTGCTTTAGCTTGAATGGCATCTGCCTCACCTGGGAACCTGTTAGGAATGCAGAGTCTCAGGCCCCACCTCCAATCTGAGTGAATCAGAAATCTGCATTTTAACAAGATCCCCAGGCGAATTGTATGCACTAAAATTTTGAAAAGTGCCGCTTTTAAAAATACCTTCCCTGTCTCGCCTCCCCAGAAATTCTGATTTAGTTGGTTTTTAATTCTTTATGATTCTAACATGTTGCCAAATTTGGAAGCCACTGACCCAGGAGGATATTATTGCTAATCATGATAAGAAAATGTGGCAAGTTCAGTGATAAATTGGGCATCCACAAAGTATTATCAAAATGAAAAGAGGGGCCGGGCGCAGTGGCTCAAGCCTTGTAATCCCAGCACTTTGGGAGGCCGAGGCGGGCGGATCACGAGGTCAAGAGATCGAGACCATCCTGGTCAACATGGTGAAACCCCGTCTCTACTAAAAATACAAAAAAAAATTAGCTGGGCATGGTGGCGCGTGCCTGTAGTCCCAGCTACTCAGGAGGCTGAGGCAGGAGAATTGCCTGAACCCAGGAGGCGGAGGTTGCGGTGAGCCGAGATCGCGCCATTGCACTCCAGCCTGGGTAACAAGAGCGAAACTCCATCCAAAAAAAAAAAAAAAATGAAAAGAAGAGCCGCCCTGGGACTCCATCTAAAGACAGAGCAGGTGTTAGCTTACACTGCAGCAGGAGAATTGCCAGGACCTCCCAATTAATCGGATGTAGAAGCCAAAGGACCAAAAGCTGGAGTTCAAAGAGTCAGAGATTTAGAGACTGAACAACCAAGAGAGTAAAAGAGTCCTAACACTGACAGAAAACACAAAGAAGTACAGATTTTCTTGTCAGGCTGAAGAAAAGAGTGTTTTATTTTTGTACAAAATCCACGTGGGTCATCTTTGGCTTATGTAAACTTAATATCATAGAAAAATGGAGGGAAGCCTTGTAATTCCACATTTTCAGAGATCCCTGTACCCCTCGACCCTGTTTGATGTAACGTAGCAATTTCTTGATGATGATTGGTACATAGTCTAAGATTACATTACATACGAAAAAAAAAGCGCAGGTAGATGTAGATACAGATTAGATTTTGAAGACACAGGCATTCATTAACACAAAGATGAATTTCCTTAAAATACCAGAATGATGCCTAACTTTAGGCAGAAGATTTGCACACTGTATTAAACAGCCACAGCAATGCTTAATTCCCATCCCCCCATTTTATCTTCCACAATGTTCTTTAACCCCTCCTTCCACATAATGTATATATAAGATCAACTGCCACTAAAGCATTTGAGACGCTTCTATTTTTAGTAACATGCCAGGAGATCTGTTTTTATGGAATTTAATAAACTGTATATTTCAAAAAATATTTTCTGAAGAAAGTTCATGATGATTTTGGGGGGACAGTTCTCAAAAAAATTGATAGGCTGTATTTTTTTTTAATATGATGAAAACGTGGGTTCTGTTTGAGGCTCTAACATACAGGCCTTCCCAAAATGCCTTTCTCCTTAGTCTTTAAAATTAATGTCTACCCAATTCAATGAAGCCACTCTTCTCAAGATAATTAGACAGTAATGTTTTAACGGACCATAAAAATAAAAGTTGTCAGCCATACACACCTTTAAAATTAGAAATGAGCAATTATTTGCAACTATAATTACATGATCCAAATTAGTAAACATGAAGCAATATTTTATCCATTCTGAAAGGTTACTTACAAGATGCCGTGTTGA